TATAAAGAACAAGTTTCATTATACTTGTGATCTACCTAGTCGTGTAAAAACATAAATTAGCTCCAAATGTGTACAAAAATTAGCATGAAACCTGAATGATGACTCAATTTTTTTTCTTCAGTCTCTAGGTTTTAATGCCGAGTAATGCTTTGAATAAGCGTCTAAATCCATAGATTATAATATGTCTCTTTATTAAGATTAAATCTCTTTGACACGTTTATCAATTCATAACATAGAGATTTTCAACAGTCGTTAATGAAATTTTTGGTATACTCTCAAAAAAATCTATTTTATTTTTAGTCATGATTTTTTTTCTTTTTATTCGATCCAACGTTCGAGTATGTAAAATACACTTTCAACGTGGAACATCAGTTGTAAATTTTTTCACTGAAAACTTTACCACAAAAAAACTGTTCTACTGTTATCAAAAAAAAAAAAAAACAGAAGTAAATAAAAAAGGTTTTAAAAACAAGTTTTGCAATCTATAGGTATGAATAAATTCCAGATTACTACAAACAACGTTCTGTCTTGCAAAAAAAAATAAGTAAAAAACCTTAGATAAATGGTATCCTTTGATGTAAAAATTTTGAATTCAGTAATTAGGAAAAATTAAAAAAAAATATTTTTGGAGCACCAAACAGCACAGATGTTAAATATTATAGACATTATTAGCCCAACCCCTACTCACGTAGACAATCATTAATTCTATTCAAATTATACGAAATTTCAACGTGACAATTGTCCAATACCAATACCCCAACGCCGTGCACGAATACCCGTCCAACATAATTTTTTCCCTTCTCCGCTCATTACGCATTCAATAACTCTTCTTTCTCCGACTGTACGTAATATTTACACTAGAAAAAAAAGTACTGTCTACATCCATATATGGATATAGGCAGCTGGGAGAAACTGTCACGCACAGCTCCTCGTGAAATATAAGTATAGTCTTCCCTTGTGCGACTTCAACAGCCACAATCAACACGAGCAAAGTGAAATTTCATTTCGCAATTAAAACAAAAAGCCCGAAGCATCGAGAGCGCGCGAGTACAGGATAGGTGGGAGGGGTGTGGAGCTCCTGTGACCCAGTCTCTTTGAAAATATTTCTAAAAACAAAATCCACGATGGCAGGGTGGGCGGAGGAGCTGAAAAACAAACGAGAATAAAAGAGTATATAATGGGAAAACCGGGGCCCGAAGCCTCGTCGGGTAACTAGACTGACATCGTGAAAAAAAGGGGAGGTTATTGGAAGACAGAGCTGCACCGGAGACACGAAATGACTTTGAGCCCGTGCACCGCGTGATGTGCATACGTGTATAATATATGTATATACACGCCGGAGAGGAAAGAGACTCGTTTTCTCGCCTCGATGAACCGGAGAAGGTAACGCACATTGAAAAAAAAGTATCGAAAAAAAAAAGGAGGGAGGGGATCTCCGTAACGAAGGCCTTCACTTAATATGTACGCGAGGTGCCCATGGGCGATGATATTAGTGGGTATATATAACATGCACGCTGTTGTGAAAGAGAAGGAAAAAAAAAAAAAGATTTCGTGAGAACTTACACTTTAAAAAGTAGCGATGCCCACGGATATGCTACGAGATAAAATATGTACAGTTGCATTGTTTTTTTTTCAACGGCAAACAAAAGATAGTCATGTACAAGTACACTGTGAAAAAAAAAAACAAAAAATAAATAAAAGCTATACGCCTAAAAAAATCGTTTTCACCCGATCCATTCGCAAAACTGCAACGTGCGCGGGGGTGGGGGTCAATACACATCGATGCGTATATATACACATCACCAAACAGCCGTTCTCTCGCTATACGAGCATCGCGCAGTGTCGAGGCCGTGGGTATGTGTCACCCGCTCTTCCGTGTACTTACAATCTTGCTCTTTTTCTTATACACTAGCCAGGAGGGGGAGGGGGGGTGCTTTTTACACGTATATGCATGCAGTGTAAGCTACCCGGTTGCCAGATTTCGGAGCAGTACATTCCATATACGTATGCGAAGCTTTTTAATAGATCTGCAACGCGCCCACGCGCGTTTAGCGCGTACATATACACACAACGTGAACAGGGATGATGCATGTATATAAATCGCACGCAGTTTCTCTCTTTTTCTCGGGCGCGCGTGAATTCCTACGTCGAAGGAAGGGTCGGCGTGTGCAAGTTTTTTAAATAGTAGAAAGACACGACGTGGGGGGTGAAGAAGGAGGAAATAATATCAGAGGGGCATATTAAAGTAATGAGGAAATTTTCCTGAAATGCAAATACCTCTCGGATGCCATGTTGTTACGTTACAATCCGACGGGGTGTGCAGCGGGTCCGGGTGCGCGCTGACGCTCCTTCCTCTCGAAGAAGCTCCTTCTTCTCCCGTGGACGAGGGTCCCTCACCTCCACCCCCACCCCCCACCCCCAGCTCCGAAATAGAAACTCAGCCTCTCACATCGGTACCTATACACCGTGCACACTTTCGGCTGATATATGTATGTGCACACACTCTCTCCCGAGCACCGTGCAATTTACACGCTTGTATTTATACACACACGTATCTTACTGCAACACCCCGTGTGCAATAAATTTTACGGAATTTTACGCGCAATCTGCTGTATCGTGTACGTACATCGAAACGAGCAAGCACACACACTTTTGGTTGCTGCGCTACTCCGAAACTTTTCTTGTTTATTCTAACAATGCTCAAACGATAAGACACATGTAGTATAACACTTGCACAGGCGCGCGCACAAACACGGGAAAAAAGCACTGCTGCACACGAGTAAAATAAAAGAGAGAGAGAGAGAGAGGAAGAAATCAAAGAGAGACACACGCTTTCTTATCAGGCGGTGGCGGGTTGGCGAGAGGGTAGGAGGGGTCGGAGCCCAGCGGCACCGAGGCTCGACTTCTTCGTCGGCGGTGGCTCTTCCTCAGCGGCGCCCTTAAACACTGCCATTATTTTACGCGCACCAAGGGCACATATATATATACTCGTACACCACTAGCACACATGTACACACACACCACTTGTAGTTGTAGGGGGGGGGAAGAAGCAAATTCACGAGCACTTCACAAGCTTGATGGTGTATAATTTTTTTTTTTTTCCTTTTTTTTGTTTATTTGTTTGTTATACCTTTGTACCCTTTTCACGTACGCTATCACGTGAGTACATTAGTTGCCATCGGGTGTGGGTGTCCCTCTGGTCTGTCGTTTCTATTCTGTGTACAGTACCGTACACACCATTTCGTAGATGTACTTTTACACACGAAGGGTATACGTAGAGAGAGAAAGGGGGAGCAATGATGTGTATGTATTTATAAATACTAACAGCACAAGTGCCCGATTGAAATAGTCATATGGGTATATACTATATGTGTATGGTGCAGGTCTCACAGGGAACCAAACTTGTTACGTGGTATAACTATATATGTACACATACACCATTAGTGGATCACGATATTGGTAATATCAAAACAACAATATCATTTAACGGAGCACTGCTACTTTGGAAACTTGGACTCGTGCCTTGCGCTGCAGCGAGGCCACTACTACTGAATTAACGACGATCACTGCTACTTCTAGCGCCAGCGGTCACCCATCGCCATTTTCCCGAAGCTAGGACTACACGCTGTATGTGTCCAAGTCTCTAAAAAAAGCAACAAGGTTTTGGAGTGACCGAAATTACTACAAATATTGTGCTCACCCATGGTAGGAAATTTTTAAATAAAAGACGAGTAATTTTTTGTCTGAGGCAAAAAACAATTAGGGGGTGAAAACTACCCTTAAATTATTGCAATGTGTCTTTTTCTCATTTCAATATATTTTCATGAAATAAAGTGAAAGTAGTGTTTCGTGTATGATACTTAAGGCCTTGGAAGACGATAAGAATTTTTCATCCCTTATTTTAGGGGTTACTTTGGATTTTTTATCATTTTTATCTAGAAAAAATCTTGGAGATTCAAAATTTTTGAAATACGTGTACACGCAGGCTATATGGCAAAATTAACTTGGTATTGTTTAATGTCAACCATAAAACAACCCCTTACGAGAGTGAGCTACCCTTTTGAAATATAAATTATTCAAGAGGTTCAATGATTTGCTCAAAATGCATAGACAAAGCAGCGAAACTTTCAACAATGACTATTCGGAGTGTCAGGAAAGTGTGTCTATTGTTTCAATAATTTTAACGGCAAATTTCTTATTTTATCATTCATTAAATTTCTACTCTTAATGTGTAAGATTTAAAGGCATCAATGAACTCGTTTTTCACTAATAATAATAATAATAACATTTATAGTAAAAAGTATATTGAAAGAATTCACATGGTTTTCCGACACTGTGAATAGTTATTTTGAGGAAATCGTGAAACCTCCTTAAATCGTTCTATAAACAAAAAATTTTGCAGAAAATTTTGATACAGCGGTTTTGAGGGTTTCTGTTAACGTATCTACGGTCAGATTATAGAAATATTAAAAAATGGTGAATTCTCCACTATTTTTAAGATCACGAGGAAATAAAGTTGTATACGTGACAAAAATCCGCATCGATATTTTAATCGTAAATATTGTTTCATAATAGACTTTTGAGCTCCTCTCTATGATTAAAAAGAAAAATTTGCTAAATTCTGTTAACAAAATAATGTTAAACTTTATTAAATAATAGAGAAAAACTTTGCAACGATACAAATCAAATAATGCAAAAAAGTTTACAATTGATTGAAACCTAATGTAACTATCAAGGTCCACTGGAGCAGTGACACATTTGAATTTCAGCCCTTAACAGTTATCAAAATGCAGCTTAACATTTTTTTTAATTCGTGCAAAAATTACAGAACTTGATTCAATATTTTGTATTTTTCCGTTTTTTTTATTGAGTACGGGGTATTTTTATACCACAAAGTAATTGTAGGATGAAAAATTCAATTTTATATGCTAAAACACATTTTTGACATTTTTTCGTAGGTCTTGACAACCTTTTTGAGCCGTTAGCATCAACAACTATCACAAAAGGTCATTGCGTTAAAGACACCCACGAATTTTAATCTTATTCAGTCACACAATATTTTTTCAAACACGTTATTCATTAACTTTAAATTATATTCGAAATTTCAACGAGACAAATTAATATTAAAAATATACCAGACCTCATATGAATTTTATTTTGTTGAAACGCATGAGTTTGCGGTAAGATATTCACAAAAATATTTAAGGGTGAAAATTCAAGGGTAGTTTTTATCTCCTCATTCAGTGTATTCGAGCTCCAAAAAAATACTTTACGCAGACTCTGGCATATACCCTACGCAGACTATACATGTATGCATTGTACAGTCGACCGTGATGCAGTCGACGAACTTTAACTCGCTCAGCGGGAAATTTGAAACTCACCAATGCAAAAAATCATGTTAATCGAACTACCCAATAGAAATAAATTTTTCCAATTTTCCGGCGGGTGAGTTAAAACTACATCTTCAACTGCATGTACGTATGTATGTTTGTGTGTGCATTTATGTATTTTTATACATGCTTCATCTGTATCATGTGGATACCTGAGCAATGGACAAAAGAAAACCCCACCTTGAGATTACTGAGTTTGTTTCAAAAATGTCTTATGTTACTAAAATGACATATCTAAATAATTTATTGATGAATTAATAATGTCAAAAATAATCTTACAATTTCATGAGATACAGGCACGCTGGTGAAATATCATGGTTCTTGTTAACAATAATTAGCCATGACAGTATATAAAAACTTAAGACGTTCATATCTAAAGAACCGAGATGCGTACCAAACAGTGAGTCACGCTAATCGAATAAAAAGTTACTACTTATATAAACTAATGTTCAAAGAAAGCGTACGAGCCAGGTGAGTTCTCGTGGCATTTTCAATTAAAATAGTTCTACTCATGTATTTTTTCCTGCTGAACATAATTTCCCATAATGGATTGCCGTAAATTTTGCACATCAAAAGTAATTAATATATTTTATAAGCTTATAAAAATTATGCAATTTTGCTTAAAAGAAATACAAACACATTTTTTGGCACATTTTAAGGAAAAAAAGATCTCTTAAAATTTTCCTTAAATACTATAATTTTTAGTGAAAAATTTGGAAACTTAAAATAAATCAGAATATTGCAATTTTTTAATCATTAATATCTCAATTGTTCAAACACTGTTTATAATTATGTAGGGCTTAAATTTAGAATAATAATACGATGTACACCTTTAGTTTGAATAAGCCCATGTTTTTTTCAAGTATTTTCATTAATTTTACGAAATTGTTAATGACATAAAATGCTTGATATTGATTCTTTAAATTTTTCGAATGTTTTATTTAAAAATAATGGCGTGTATAAAAAATTTCAAAAGACAAATTTTACTTTAAACAAACCGAAGAATATTAAAAAATTTATTTCACCCAAAAAAAAAATTTGTTTTAATTTATTAAAAAGTTTATCTGTAGCAATTGCTCTACAAGTCATGCAGCAATCCACCACCAATAATGTTGTAAAATGATAAAATTATTTGAAAAAAATTCAAGTAGACTTTTTGAATTCAAAGGTGGACATCGTATTTTTACACGTACGCAGACAATATAGGTAGCATAGCAAAAAGCTCACAATTCAAAGCTTGTAATTAAAAAAAAAAAATTTTTACTATCCTGAAAGTAATGGATTCTTGAAATGCAATATTAGCTCTGCAAAGTTGCAAAAAAAATTTGTTTAATCGAGACGTTAACGGTTGAAAATTGCAAAATTCCCAATTTTTTAATTTAATGAATATCTTAATAAAACAGTGTGATATTTAGTGGAAAGTTGCAAAAGAATTTTTTACTCAAAACGTACCAAAAAACTTTCCTGTTACCAAAAAAATAGTTCTGAAGTGGATAAAAATATAGTTATTATCATTTTTTTACAAAAATTGTATAACTTTTTTATTTGTTTGTAAAAAATGATAATAACTATATTTTTATCCACTTCAGAACTATTTAATCAAATTAAGTAAAGTTATAACTATTTATTAAAATTTATAAGTCTTTATTATGCTATG